TCCCCCCTTGAAAGTTGCGGCAATAGGTAGTATTTATAGGCAGGGGGCACATCCCAATTTGTGGAGGAAAAGGATTAGGTTGTTTGCATTGTTTTAGGACTCCTCAAATTAGATAGGAAGTGGTTTAATGTGATAAGAAATCCCCCTTGCAGCTGGAGATAAGGTAAAGTAGGATTAGGATAGGATAAGATAAGATTTGTTAAGGATAAGGTTGGATAAGATAAGATTGAATAAGGTTTCGCTTTAATTTGTAATTCCTTGTCTTCCAAGCCTCAATCGTAATTCTTCCAGATTGTAACACATTCCTAGCCTCATTTGACCACCAAAAACGTCCATCCTAAGTGCTCACCACGCATGCTATCCAATCCAAGTCCAAAACTGCTCCAAATTGCTCCATTTTTCCCTTTTTTGTCACCTTTGCCAATTGGACCTACAAACACACGAAAATAGCTTAAATCACTATAATAAATAGAAACTAACTAAGTAAATGCAAAGAAATAAGCTAACAAAATCGCATAAATATGCTCCTATCAACTTGCGGGACTACATTGATCAATTTTCAATTTCAAGGACTATTTGATGTCGCGGGTAAATTTCAGGGATCATTTTAATGTCACGGGTCAATTCAAGGATCATTTGTGAGAAAAAATGGACTTATGTGACCCATTTATGTGTCACATCAGCACTTAACGGAATTTTTAACAAAATTGTGATGAAAGGACCACATTGATTTGCAACACCTGTTTTTAGGGACTACATTGATTGATTTTCAATTTTAGAGACCATCTTGATGGTGAGGGTCAATTTTTAGGACCATTTGTGAAACCCTATTAATAATATATCAACAATATTTATGTTAATTATAAATAGGTCAATCATGTGTTGTGATACTTAAATGCATTTAAAATAAATAAATTACAAAATTTGATACTATAGCTGACACCCACTTCAACTAACACTCTCTTTCCCATAGTTCTATATTTTAGAATAAGTCAATACGGATCAGACACTGCAACTTGCAGTATCTGTTTCCTGATTTTGTTTTCTAATTTGGATTTAGGCACTGCGTTGCAGTCTATTTACTGATTTTGTTTTTTCCATCACTCACATGCCTCATACACGTTTCTTTTTACACTTTGGATTTCGACACTGCAGTGCAGTGTCGAAATCCAAAGTGTAAAAAGAAACGTGTATCCCTCATCTGTGAGACTGAATTGTCATACCAAATTTCATATTCATTAGAGTGATTGTCTTTAATTTAAAAGTCGATGGATTATATAATTTTGATGGATCATAAAAGCTTAGAATGAGGTAGTATTAGGCTTAAACAGGTGGTGGGTCAACTTAATGAATTAGTTTAGTTCAATTTGGTTGTTGCCATTACTATTAGGTTTCCAAAATTTTCTATCTTTCAAGATACCAAGTGTTCAACCAAAAAATACAGAATTAAATACATAAGAAGCCTAGCAAATGACAATTTTGGCACCCCTTAATGCTCCTAATACTAATGGTATTAGACCCAATGCTCCTATTCTGTCAATTCAACATAAAATCGGCTTTATCTAAATTAACTAAACAAGTTAACATTGAGAAAATTATGTATCTTTTTTATGCATTTACCTCGTGTATGTTGTTAAAGAATCATGTCTGATATGTTCAACCGATTTAACAGAACGTGCTTTAATATATAAACTAATCAAAGAAGCTGGCTTTGCCACCTTGTAATAGGCAATAAGAAAACGAAAACTACACAAAGAAATTAACTTAAAGAAACATCTTCGTTTATAAAATTTAATTTGTATCTTGTGTTTCAGATTCGAGTACTAGTGTGTGCATTGAAGACTGTTACACAGAGAGTGGCGACGATCTTGCAGCAGTGAAAAGTTGCTGGGATCATTATGGAATCAAAATGGCTCGTCCGAGTTCGAACATCATAGTTAGAAGAGTTCATGGTACCACTCCAACTTGCTCTGGAGTGGGAATAGGTAGTGAAATGTCTGGTGGGATTTCAAATATTACCATTGAGGATTTGCATATTTAGGATTCTGCAGCTGAGGTTTTTTGGTTCTCTTCTCTCGATATAAAATAAATTAGATTTACCATATCTCTAAATTATTGAGTTTGAAGTGCTTTTCTAAGTATAAATTTATCGAAGTCTTAGGTATGAAAACAAATAATTTCCTTATATGAAGTAAGGGCATATTTTTTGGCATCGCCCGGTCCTCAAAACCTTATTATCAGCCCTACTGGGGTGCGGATTGGGGTTAAGTAGCAAATGTTAGTATAAGTAACTTAATAATGGAAAGGGTGAAGATAATCATAAGGTTTTTGTGAAGTGAACTTGTATAGAATTGATACAAGGGTAATGTAACAATGTTTTTGTGGAACTTCATATTCATTTCATTTATGATTGATTTATGTTAAAGAATTTACAACATATCTCAGTGAGTGAAGTTTTTGTATATCCAGTTCTTCTATCTTTCAAGATGCCAAGAGTTCAAACAAAAATACAGAACTATATACATAAGAAGCCGAAGAAATGACTGATTAACTGCAGGACATGAAGATGAACGACTGTCGAAGCTTTTCAATAAACAAGAAATTAAGCTACATACATACAATACTGCATATTTGCTGCATACATTACACGGTTTAAAGTTGAGAGAAATTAATGGATTTGGATGGATGCTTGGTTGTCCCTTTTGTTTGGATGATCACCATTTCCAGAAAACGTTGGAACCACACTTGTATTTGTCCTTGCCTTCGCACTCCAAACTAAGATCGTCTGAGAGAAATGGTACTTTCTGCATCCATTCATCCATTAACCAAATTTAATTAAGCAAATAAATTAAATTTAATCAAAAAATAAATTTAAGTAAGCAAATAAATTAAATATAAATTCAATTCAAATGTTAAAATAAAAATAATTGTAATTAAAACCATAATTAAGTGGATTAATAGAGCCTGCGGGTACCTTTTGCTTGGCAAGATCTTGGCAGCCAGTGAAGTTCTCAGGGAACTTACATGATCCAAATTGAACAGTGAATGCTCTTGCAAAGTTTGCACCGCTCGTTGCCAGCCTCTTCTTGTCATTCAGTTCCTATTTATATGAGATACAACAATATAATTAGTATACATTATACGGATCTATGACACTATTTTTTTACACAATTAATTGACACACATTTTCGTTGGACTCACTCTGTAATGTATTTTAACGATCTCAACCGTCTTTCTTTTAGAACAATATTCAATATAGACATACACATGTATCTAGGTATGTATGTTAAGCACAGAGGATGCAGCTAGCTATAGCTACCTTGTTGGCTTTGCTTTTTTCGAGGTAATCATCAATGACACCGGCATTGGCAGCGGAGTTGGAAGAAACAGCGGTGAAAGCAATGGCCGCCAGGGAAAGCAGCACAGCCCTTCTTCCATCAGCTCCTTGATTATTTTGTGTGCTAGGCTGTTGGGCCCTGAGTGCTACAACTTTGGTCTGAGCGGCTGATACAACTGAAGGCATGCAAGTCGTCTTTGCATTGACAAGTTCAGACATTCTAGTGCCGGAGACGGCATAGTTGCATGCCAGCACACTAGAGTTCATCGCTGCCATTTATTCCTCTAGTAGTTTCCTCTATATTTTTTTAGGAGAAGAATGTATCGGGATATATGGAGAGAAGTAGGTAGGCTAGCTAGGGTTGTATCACTAATAATTTTGGGGTTATATGTATATTTGTAATGTATGTGGATAACGAGTGATTGTGGTGGGAGCGTGGTGGATAAGGTGAGATTGCCTTGCTCGGATCCTATTGGCAAGCTTTGCGCTTTCTTGCTTCCGCTACCAATTTGGGACTTAATTGGACTTGGTTTGTGTGGTGCCCTTGTGTTTTGGACCCATTTTAATTATAAAATCATTTTCTTTCTTTTTTGTGTCAATATAATAATGTATCTATATTGTGGGTGGGTGATTTGCGTTGAATCACAATGTATCTGACATAATAATTTCGTATTAAATTTGGTATTCACGAGATTCGAAATCTAAAACCTCTCACTTAAAAGTAGAGTATAAATTAGAAAATCACATCTTGTTCTTGGTGTCAACGTTTCTCATCCTAACGATGCAATGACCAAGAAAGTAACTAGACAAGTTTTTCATGACGGAGACAAAACCGACTACCATATCCACAAATTTGGAATACTAGATAATTACTTGTCATAAAGAAATTCGCTACAACTCTAATGTACAACTCCCTATGTCCTAGAAATGGAAGTCTGTCTGTAGGAAGTTTTTGTTGGAGAGTATCCATGGTAAACATTTGAATTTAAGTTTAAGATTCGTAAGGTAATTTTCCGTATTTTTATTAGGTGTTTTAGTTTGAGGGATTTTATTGATTGTCATCAGACATTCAGGGTCACACAAATCTTACGTGGCGTGCAAACCTTAAATCTAAGACCTAACTATGTTCTTCAAGAATCTTGTGTGACGGCCACACAACCAAGCGTATACTTTGTTATAGATGTGGCAGCCTGAACTTCTGGTCAAACGATTATGGCTGAGATCGGAACCTCGCGGCCTTGAAAACAAGGTCGTGCAAATCAAATTGGAACACCAACTTACCTTGGGATGCAAATGAATGACCCATGTAGCGAAGCACCACGGTTGAAACTAGTTTGTTGTCCTTTGAATGTAAACTCTGGTGGGTACAATCTTTTAACTTAAAACTAAATCGGAGATGTAGCTTGTGTCAGGCTAGTGGTTAGTTATGCTATGCACGGGACAAGAAGGTTGATAAATGCATTGAGCATGAGACCCTCTCTCTGTTGCCAATTCCCTTGGTCTTCATATTTGCTTGCTAGCCAAGTATCAGAACTCGATGTGACGATACCACATCTATCTCTCGATAATACGGATGCATCAAATGAACCCAATATCAATTGGTCAGCTGGTTGTTAATTCTAAGAATCGTCATTTCATCATTGCCAAGCATACACAATCATCCTCAATGAGCTAACTAGCAATCTACTACTGAAATTCAAAGAAAATTTAGCGAGGGCCATCGAACGCCATTCTTACATGATGTATTTACATAAATACAACATTAAACAGCTTTTCACATAGTTTAAACCTAATGTTATAACGCCTGATTGTGACTATTTATACTACATCAGAAAGGATTCGGTGGACGTGCATCGCCCGTCACTGTTAACCACCAACTACATGAAGGATAGAAACTACATCGTCTTCTCCTACTTAGATTATTCTTATATTTGAAACTTCAATATAATGGCAATGTAATATACCGGATGAGCACCAATTAAACTATGCATTCCGCATGCCACGTCAACTCAGAGCTAATTTGCTTGCTCAGTTCTGGAGCTACATATCTGATGCCCTTAACTTTCTAGGCCTTTTAGGCTGCGCAGGCGATGATGGAGCTTCTGCCCTACCAGGGGCCTTTCGTTTTTGGTCTCGTTTACCAATTCTTTCCCCTGAAATCCAATGGATATTAATGAGGTCAATAGTACTAGAAAAGAAAAAAAAAAAAAAAAAAACACAGAAAGCGATGCCGGACTAGACAAGATTTCCTATTATCACCTAATACATCACCTCCAAAACTTGTTGATTCAGGGACAAAAGTGCGATCCTGGTCAGCACATAAGAAGATGCACTGTCAGAAAAATCTCATTGTTTGGATCACAAGCTAGCTTATCACCTGAGAAGTGAGAACCCTACTACAAGCAAGGACAACGAACCTTGGGTGTGCCTGGTGTTTCGTATGGACTATCACGATAAGATGAGCCTTCTGCCTCCTTATATTGTAACTGATAACCAAAAGGCAGTACATAGCAGGCCATAAAAGCAGTTTGGTTAAGGAAATCAAAATTACAACACATACCCCATGCAAACACTTGGAGATATGCAGATATCACCGATACATGTTTTAAGGAATATACTATGCTCTCTAAATTACAAAATATTTACAGTAGTTATAAAAGAAAAAGCTTAGCTAAGTGACCTGTTTCTGAAGATTCAGTAGCGTCAGTATTTCTTTTCTTAATTCAAGATGCTGTGCACAAACGGATTTAGTTGGAACTCTCGGCTTTAAATTAACCTGTAAAGAAAAAAAGCACAACTTTAAACTCTTTTAGAAACTAATAAATGAAGAATAAAGATATTAATAGGATTTGTTGCTCTGAATATAAATACATAATATGCAATTTTGCATGGCAATATCCATTATTATCAAGAACCAAACGATCTAACTGAGCTTAATATTAAAACAAGATAACTAGAAGTGAGCAAACAATGATATCTAAACTTTCAAATAGAATTCAAGAATACACAAAGCAGGACCACCAAAAACCGCAAAGCATCTCTCTTCAATGGAAATTCTATAAGTTGTTACAACAAGTAATTGTCTAGAAATTCATCCATATTCGTGATAGAACAGACATTGCACTGAAACTGAATTATCAAGTGATTTAGCCTCTATGCTGATAAGGTAAGGGAGACTCAAAGCAAAGCAAAGGCGAATTTATGAAACAAGATAACAAACATGGTAACATGTATGGATCTGAAAATTTGCCGCTCAAGATAAAAATATACTACCAAGTGTGACAACGAAATAAGCATCTATAATTAATCAATAGTTCACGAAGTAGTACAGACCCCAAGTTCTTGCAAACTTTGCTCAACCCGCTTGATAGTCCGAAGTCCAGCAGATGAGCTTGCAGCTTGGATCATTTGGTCAAGCGCATATGTCCTAAGATACACCCGAAGCTGGAAATTTCCTCAATCAGTCCGTCAATAGACTCAAGAATGGATATCTCACATATTTCAAAGAAATTTAGACAATATGGAGTGGCTTAAGAAGCAGTACAAGATTTTCCTTGAAGAAAAAATGGATGCAAAAAGAACCAAAAATGAAGTCATGCAGTAACTTTCAAGGGAAATGAAAGAGCATATAGAACAAAATCTAGCAAACCAGTTAAACATACCATTCGGAGAGAAGCTAGAGTAGAGGTATTCTCTGCCATTGAAGTTGAAGGTGCAACCATTGCAGAGGGGAACTCAGAGTTGGATGAAGGTGACAGAGTCTCACCAGGAATGATAGCCCTCTCCACATTAAATGTTATAGGCAACTCTGACTCTTTAGCATTCTGAAATACAGAAAAACCAAGTATATAAATATGCACAACAGCCAGGTGCATGCACATAACTATTCATTCTGATTTTGAAAACTGAACCACCAATATATTGGCATAATCTGATATCTATAGGCTATAACCCTTGCACAAGTCTTGAGTCACTAATATATACTTCTAAAAATTCTATTTAATAGAAATAAGGGTTATTAACGGATACTGAAAAACCTCCTAATTCAGGAAACATGGGTTAGTGGTTTACCAAGACAAGAGGAATGCAGACCCAATGTAAAGGGACATATCTTGATACTACGGTCTAGTGGTATTCCTCTTCACTTATAAGTGATAGGTCTTAGGTTCGATTCTCGCCAAAGGCGAATTTGAACCACATTATTGCTAGCCCATTGTGAGGCTTAGCCCACCCCCTCCTCCTTAGTGTAGATAATATCGTTTGTTCATAAAAACATGTATCTATCTGTAACAGAGCATCAAAGATCTCTATACACTTAACACAGTTAGCAAACATACCCCAGCCACAATTTATTACTTATAGAAGTAAAGTTTAAGTTTACAAATTTGTACAAATTCAGCTAGAACTAACATGAAAGTCTAAAAATTTGTAAGCGCAAACTTCAAAAAGAAAAGAGGAAAATCCAAAACCAAAAGAAAAAGGATAGTTATTCTGCAATATGAAGCATTCTACTTTCAAGAAGCATGGCACTTCATTCTACCCACAGAGTAGAAGCATCAAGAAACTACAGTTTCGTAAATTGTTGTGAACTCACCAGTAAATACAAATAAAGCACAGCAGTATATGTACCGGTAAACTTACCCTTGCAGCAATGCGTGACTCAGCTATTCTTTTGGCTTCAGCCAAAACCTAAGAAAATTTACAATGGATCAGACAAGTAAAGGAAGGAATGTATCCATTTGAAAAATCAAATTCCCAATTAATGTCGCAGGGCCACATGTAAGAATTAATCACTAAATTGATGGATGAAATTTATACCTCCGAGTCTTTTCTCTCTTGGTGCTTTGTTTGAGAGAGAACCATGGACAATGCTCGCTTGCGATCTCTCTCTTGTGTAAATTTGTAAGGTTCCTAAACCAAGACAAAACAAGAGAAACCAAAGCAGAAAAAATATGTTAAGTAAAGAAACTAATAAAAGGGCAGCTTGTTCAACATGTCCACCCCAATGCAGGGTCTATAGAGAGCAAGACATACACAGCTTAATTACTTGCTCCCGCAGAGATCGTCTCTGCCAACAAAAAAGAATTAATATTTGCCTAAAATATCAGTTGTCAAAGCTACAAACCTTAACAATAGGATGCTCCGAAACATCTCCAGGTGATGCCGCAGCTCTAGCAATTAATATAGATCGAGATACTACAATAAAAAGTGGTGTAATCAGCATCAACAAGAACCATGTCCAATGATCTTTCACAACAGTGAATCATTTAAAGATTCAAGCATAGAAATCAAAGCATAACATGAACATCATGAAAGTGAACCAAACAATGAGCAAAAAAAATTCACGAAGAAAACAGAGAAACAATACCTTTGTAATAGATTTACCAAAAAAAAAAATACCTTTGTAATAGCGTTCCTTCAGTTCTTCCACAGTACGAGAAGACGGGAACCTGTCTGCTATCACAATGAAGCGTAGATCAAACTGTTGACACAATTCAAACAATTGATCCGTCTCTTCCTTTGTCCACATCTAATGAAGACAAAATTTAGTAACAGAGAATGAGGAAAGAAAGAACACTGAAAAGCATTCTCACAATTAAATTCCTACTTTCAAAGCTTAATTATGGGTGGGGCCGGAATTTCAGATGGCAATATTTGCCAATAATAAGAACACTTAAAACCATTTCATATGATGCAGAGCTGGATTTTAAAATCCACTTAAAACCATTTCATATGATGAGGATCTGCATTTTAAAATCTTAACCTAAATTAGATTCAAAAAAGCAATAATCTTACCATCTAATATAGCACTTATTCAGGCCCTAAAATCCAAATACCCTAAATTAAATGACATCATACAAATAAAATCTTGATTTGATACCTACATCATCAGTCAAATGCTTCTCATACTCCTCGTCTGTGTATTTGACAACGTCCACAGACTGCACAGAGTTTGAAAAATAAAAATAAAAATAATAAATATATATATATATATATATATATATATATATCATATGCATTCACTTGCATGCGAAACAAAGTAAAAGTCTATGACCATACGAAGAGGAACAATCCTTCCCCAACACAGTTAAGGATAAATGTACCTTGTTATACTTGGCAAAGGAGTAGTCACCCATAGGTGGGACACCATTTACAACTCTAACCTGCAAAATACATGCGACTAAAGACATGCACAGCCCAACTAGAAGGAAAGAAAAAAACGCAGAGCTTGGAGGCGCGCTACATAAGGTACAAAACCTACCCAGTGAAAGAGCTGTAAATTATCTTTCCGAGCAGAACTAGTAAAAGGAAGCCACTGCCAAGTGATCTGAAAGCATAATGCCAGATTTAGCATAACTGATTATCAAAGGTCAAATACCCGAAAAAACTAACACCGCATAAAATCGGTAACCGGCTACATTCTCAAGCAACTCAAACCAAACACAGTAACAAGGCTTCAGGTAATACTACAAATGTGAGTAAATAAACATATGATGAACAAAATTAACCTTTTCGTCAGTCGGAGGCCGTTTTTTCAGCTGTAATGGCTCCACTGCCGGCATGAGAGGTGGAACACCCCCGATAAGCGCATACACCTGCACTTCGACAAGCCCAAACACGCATTATCAATTCAATTTCTCAGTCGTTCGAGATTATTCAACCAAAATTTGAGAAACACAGCATGCATCATCCCCAAAATTTGATAAATTTAGGCGAAATTTGTGAAATTTAAGCAAAATTCGAAAAACCCTAAACACACACAATCAAAGCATACCTCGCGCGAAATGCCCTCTGGTTTTCGCTGAGACTCCTTAACTGTTCGAGATTTCTTCTCCTGGGATGCGGGATGCGAGGTTTTGGACAAGCCCAAGATGTCCTTGGCATCCATTGCAATTTCCCCCAACAATTTGGGCGTTTGCTTGGGACTTACGACGAGACAACGCGACGTGCGACTCTCTCGGTTGCAGAAGGCTAGGCGACAAGGAAGGAAGAAGCACTGCGTGCAATGGAGGAGTAGTATTACTATTACTGTACTAGTAGGTTGGTGTGGATATATAGGACTGGAAAGTATCCCGTGGAAACATTGGAAGACCCCAAAGACGTATTTGCCTTTTTTTTTTCGGGTGCTGGGATTGTGGGTAGCTCTTGGTCACCCGGGAAAGCAAAACATGGAGGATGAAATATTGGGATCAGGATCCTCTCCTGATCTTTGGACGTGGAACCTCATGATCAACAAGTGTGGACCGTTAGATGAAAATCCAACGATTATAATTATTATAATTTTAAAAGGACTCCCTGTTTGTAGCCGTTGAATTTTCATCCAACGGTCCACACTTGTTGGTCATGATGATACCCATACAAAGATCAGGAGAGGATCCTGATCCAAAATATTGATCGACTCAAAATATAGAAGGACCAAAATTATGCATTTGTTGCCACTTGGTACTACGTTGTGATATTTCTCTTCACTTGTAAGTGGTCTTAAATTTGATTCTTGCTAAAAACGTATTTAAACCATATTACTTTCGCTCATTGTAAGGCTTAGCTCACACCTTATCTTAGTGCAAATAATATTTTTGTTCAAAAAAAAAAATAATGTATTTGTAATTGTTGACCCTAAAAATTACAAAGCCTACATGGCGCGTAGGCCGAGTAACTAATGAGCTAACTACGTCCTTCGGTTGATGCGGCGCGTGCCAACTCGTCAGCCGAGCTTGGCCGAGGAGTAAAATTTGTTGATGTTGCGTTGAGCACATTGCTGACTTCTTGATCTTGCGACTGTGGCCGAGGAAGGAACAAATCTCGGCATTTAGATTCTCGAGCCTGAAGACAAGGCTGCTAATTCTGCGAAGTTCACGAATCGTTGACGCCGGATTCAGTCACAGTGATTATATTCGTGAGAGTATAAGCACGTCGAATCGACATCAGACTATATGGACACAAGTACTCAAAAGTGATGTATGTCTTGATGGTAAATATGGTTCGGCCGTTAGAATGCCGAACTCTGAAACTCACTTATGAGTATCCAATCATAAAATCACTCGGCATTCAATGTGCCGAATGTCATAACTCATAACACCTTACTTCGCTGAGAAAGCTAATAAGATGACCTCTGTCAATAAGGATTTAAAGACCCTTCTCGATCGAGACTTGGATAGATAACCAATAGGCCTTTACGCAGTGCTGTTTATCCAAACTGAAGGTGCTTCTCAGTCGGCTGATTCTACGGCAACAGTGTTGTTTATCCAAACTGAAGATGTTCGCAAGTTGCCTTCCCAGTGTTGTTTATCCAAACTGAAGATGTGTTGACGGAAAAAGAAAATAAAAATTCTCAAGATGTTCGAGAGGTTTGCACATGGCAATTGTGTGTTGAATTGGAGGGGCTTGAATTGTACACTCCGTTCTCTATTTATAGCAGCAAGAACAAATCCTTCTTACAATCGAATTAAAACCGTACTCGGACCAGGACTCCTTACCCCAATCTATCTTATCTCGGCCAATCCTCCTTCCATTAGGATTTTGAACTCAACCCTTTATCAGGCCACATTCACTTCTAAGTTTCAGCGTTCTTATCCAGCCGAGAATCCTTATTGTATCAGGACTCAACTTCTTCATCCATCTGCTTCGCAATAGGGCTCACCCACTTTCTATTCATTTAGAATATTCCTTTTCCAAACAGGACTTGGCCAACCTTGGTTAGGCGGCCCATGAACCGGACGATCCATAGCAATCCCCGAGCAGAGCTTCCGAGCCGAGAACAATTCTACACTTGGCCCAGCCTAGTAATTTTAGATCCAAACAGTAATACATAAAGGACTAATAAATTATTTGAATCTTTATCAAATCGATGATATGGTAAGGACGAACTTCGTAATTGTGATGACATATCGACCATGTTAACTAAAAACTCATCAACATAATGAATATTCAGACATTTCGACACAAAAAAAAAATGAATATTTAGATGTTCAAATATCAAAATGTGTAAACTAATATAATTCCAAAACCTTAAAGGGCAATGTGAAACCTCACGGATATGGAATCATTAGATAAGGAGCAGTCAGACCCATCCGACAAATTTTGAATTTCAAGGAACTGATTAATGATTGTACATTGTCAGACCTCTGTTTTAATGGCAACCCGTTCACGTGGTTCACTAGAATCATCACCTATCACGATGGGGTCAAGGAGAAGCTTGATCACTGTCTGGCATCCCTGATTTGGAAGTCATTGTTTCCCCTTTCTCTAGTGAACCATCTTGATCAAAGTAAGTCTGATCACTTGCCGATTCTTCTGTGCACAAAAAGAGAGAGCGAACGAAGTAGTAGATGCCACCCCACGTTCAGGTTTGAAGAGTTTTGGACTCACCTCGAGGAATGTAAGGCTGTAATCAAAGTTACTGGAGTCCCAATGTACCAAGTGTTCACAAAATAAGAGCCACACAATGTGCTTTTCTCAAATGGCAACAAGCCGTGTCCTATGCTCGGCAATCCAAGATGAATATGGTGCGTGCCAAATTGAGCTCCACTTAACTCTGTCCTTCTTTAATTATGTGATTGCAGAGAGGTCCTTACTTTCTCAAAGACTTGATGAATTGCTTAGCCAAGAAGAGACATTTTGGTGCCAGAGATCTAGGGTGTTATGGTTGAGAGGGGGTGATCTCAACACAAAATTCTTCCATCGAAGGGCTTGTAACCGTAAAGCTAAGAACAAGATCAAGGGGTTGACTAATACCCATGGGAAGTGGCAGGATGGCAATCATAAACTTAAAGGAGATTGTGCTCAATTATTTTGGTGATATGTTCTAATCCAGAACTTTGAAAAGTGGTCAAGAGGTCATTGTTGCGATTGATATGAGAGTTACTACTGATATGAATGCCCACCTGAAGCAAAATTTCACTAATGAAGAAATCAAGGAGGCCCTCTTCCAAATGCACCCGTCAAAGTCGCCAAGTCCGAATGGCATGCCACCCCTCTTCTTTCAAAAATATTAAGGAATTGTAGGCTCAGACGTCACTCGTGCAATCATATCATTTCTCAAGTCCGGTAAACTCCTAAAGCAAATTAATTTCACTCAAGTTGCCCTTATCCCTATGGTCCATAAGCCAAAATATATGAGCAATCTGAGGCTAATTAGCCTCTGTAATGTTCTGTTTAAGATAGCATCCAAGGCTTTGGTGAACAAATTAAAAGCTTTCTTGCCCCCATATTATATCACATCACCAGAGCGTCTTTGTGTCGAGAAGATTAGTTTCAGACAACACCATTCTAGCTACTGAGATATCTCATTATTTATTCTGACTTCTGATAGAAGCATATTTAGGCGACTTACTTAGCTTGTTTTCGTGCATCTATGTTGTTAATTCATAGTTGTTTTAGTAGTTTAAGCCATTTTCGTGTGTTTTTAGGTTCATATGGCTAAGGAAGCAAAAAGATGCATTTTGGAGCATTTTGGAGCAAAATTGGGCTTGGAATGGATAGCATATAATTGGAGCCAAAGTGTTGGACGAATTTGAAGGCCTTGTATTCATTTTGGACATAAAACAAAGGGCCTAGCCCATTCTCTCTTAAACCAACCCCAAGGCCATGCATTTCCTTTCAATTCCAAAGCCCACAATCACTTCAAAAGCCATGCAAAGAACCATCCATTCCATCAAAAACAATCCATCAATTCACATGCAAAACCACCATTAACACACATGCACCCAAACAAAGCCAACCTAGCTAACCCTACATGCATTCTTTATTCACTCTTCATCATTGCACCACAAATCATTCACCCACATGCACTCATAAACCATCCACATCCTTGTGCCGCACCTTCACATGCCTTTCCAACATTCCTTTGCATTTTCAGCTTTTCTTCATCATTATTCCCCCTACATTCCACCTAATCCACATGCTTTCCCATTTCATTATTCATTCAAATTGCATTTTTTCAATTCAACCACATGCATTTCTTTATTCACTCTTCATCACATGCATTTTCACCACCATTCACACACACATGCATCCTGAAAATCCTTGCCGTGCCTCCCCCTTAGATTTTTAGAAATTTCACTTAATCATTAAGCCACCATTCACACACACATGTACTTATTCTTTCATCATTCAACCACATTCCAATTCACCACAAAACAATCACACAAATCAGCCAACACATGCACCAAAACTGTCCATGTCGTGCATCCCTTCCACTTTCCAGCTTTCCCTTGCATTTCCACCACTCATTCTTCATCATTTCAGCCACCTACATGCATTATTTATCTAACTCTTCATCATGCATCCAGAAAATAAGCAAGAAAGCTTCCCAAACACATGCATACACACACCATTTCCACCAAACACATGCAAGTCCAACATCAAAACTGTCCATGCCGTGCATCCCTTCCACTTTCCAGCTTTCCTAGCTTTTTTCCACCACATTCAAGCACATGCATGCTTAAACAAACAGCCATATGTTCCCTCCACTACTCCTATAAATACCCTAGCATTCATTCATTCATAGCTCATCTCATTTCATACACAACACACCACAAACACTTCCATCTTCTCCCTAGCCGTGAGTTTCTCCATTTTCTGCACCATTTTCTCCACCATTCCTCATCCATTTCCATAATCCCCCAATCCATTCAACACACCAACAACATCCCTTAGTCCTTGTGCCACAATAAAGAGGAAGATAAGAGGGCCTAAACGTTCATACAATTCAAGTTTGAGTTGTTGGAATGTTTACGCGTTTCTTTGATTTCAATGTTTAAATTCAATTCTCTTGTTTTGTAATATGAGGAATGGAAGAGAAGAGTGCCTAAACGTTCATACAATTCAAGTTTGAGTTGTTGGAATGTTTAGGCGTTTCTTTGATTTCAAAGTTATGAGGAACTAAACCCTTTTTGGCTAGGGGTGATTTCAATACCATGATTATTTATGTAATATGAATTGATGAATTCCGGTTATGAACTCTTGATTCGTGAATGCAATTGGCTTAACTATTTGATGATTAACTTATT